AGAGGCCGCGACACCAGGCACACACGCGGGTATGGAACCCGGAAGCCTCAGACAGCCTGGAGAGACTACGCTGCTGCGCTCCTGCGCTGGAGCCGGCAGGACAGTTGGCAGCGCCAGAGCCATGCCCGAGCACACATCTGTGCAGCATCTTCACCCAGCGCTGTGCCCCAGCTCCTCTGGCATGGCAGGTGCCTAGGGGTGCTCTCGCCCTCTCCCCTCGGAACACCCCGTCTTCCCCTCCCCTCACTACGGGACTAAGGCGACTCCGCCCCTGTCATCTCTCCCCCCAGAAACCCGTTGCCCTCCTGCGGGTGAGGCCAGCCCTGGTTTTGGCCTTCTTCCTGCACCCACACTCCCAGGGCCCGTGTTCCTATCCCAGTGCTTTAGGATGTAGAAAGTTTCAGAGAGCAGAACAGCCCTCCCGGGTTGACTGCGCTCTTTCTTACCGCTTCTCACCCAGAGAAACTTTGTCGAGAATTTTTATTTTCTATTTTTGGCGGCTGGCCGTAATCTCGAGAATTTTTAAAGGTGAGGGAAAGCAGAAGCCACTTTAGGATTCGGAACAGGGGAAGGGTTTTAACGTTTCTCACAGTCCAGGTGTCACCTCCTCTCTGGCCTGTGGCCGGCACCTGGTTGCCCCAGTCCCGATGGGAGGAAAAATGGCAGTGTGTTGGGATGTGAGCTGGGAAACCTGTTCTGACAACCGAGGCCCCGTCTGCCGCCTCCCACTTTCCGCAAAAAGAAGCTTTCTCCTTTGAGCACATTGGAGCAGGTCAGACATGGAGTTCTGGGCTGCCCCTCTGTTATCACATGGGGGCTTGGGACTGGAAGCTGTGGCCAAGGCCGGTGAGGCCTGGACTGTGCTGTCTCTTTCCCCCCACCTTCCTTGAGGACTAAACTGTGAAAGCTAGAGCCATACCTTAGTTGCAATGCCCTCCCCGCCATCAAAGGATTCTCCCTAGGAGAAGACAACTTCTTAAAGATTCTGGGGAAGACGAGGAAGCAAAGATTGCCCAAGAGAGAACGAAATATCTGACCTCCACACGGAAATCTTCGCATCCGTGGGCTTGTGGACTTTCCCATGAAAAGGAAAAAAAAAAAAAAAAAAGCAAACACAACCCGGTGGAATCCCCAGAGTGCCAGTTCTCCCCTGTCGCTGACCTTCATGGGGCTCAATTTCCCCCAGTGGATTATTGGGCTATCTTTCTGGGTGACGAAATCGGAGCTGGAGGTTCACTGGGGGTCAGTGGCTCACTGTCTAGGTCATTCCTGGAATGGAGGGGAGAGACAGCAACAGCTTTCCTCCCTTTTCTGGGAGATGAACAAATGGCCTGGACTCAGAGATATCCCTATTTTTCTGTCATTTTCCAAACGCTGGATTTGGGATGGGGCTGGAAAATCAAGGGGAAGACGTCTTCCTGATCGAACCCGCTCCAGCCGTCGGGTTCGGCAGCCCAGGGTTGAGCTGAGCAGACTGGTGCGCGCTTGGAGATCCTGCTGCTCAGGCTAGGGCAAGGAGGGAGTCCTTCCTACGCCTTCTCCCCCTGGCCCATGGGCACCTCGCTGCCCCTTTTAGCCTCTCCTCACCCCCCTTCTGTTCGTGGAGCTTCTCTGGGTGTGTGTGTGCGCGCAAGCGGGAGAGCGAGCGAGAGAAAGAGACCTGCAAGGGGGCGTTTGGGGCCGCGTGTCCGCGCACATCTTCTTCTCCTGCTCATCTGGCCATCTCGCCAGGGAAGTTGAGTGTTAGGGAGGAGGACGATGGGAGGATAGAGCTCAGCCGGAGTGCAAGAAGTGTGGGGGAAGGGTCAGGAATCAGCAATGGGGCAGCTAGTGTGGACGTTGAGATTCACAAGAAGCAGAGACACTCAGAATCCTGGGCCCAAAAGGGGTTCGGGCGCCCCGCCTGACGCAACCACAAATGTAGTGGCCCAAGAGTAGTCAACATCCTTCGAAAGGGGCTGGAATCCAGCTTCAAAAACCAAATCGAGCCGCGTGGAGTAGCAGGAAAAATGATGAGTAGACAAAGTCTGTGTCCTGGCCAGAGGAGCCACGTGGAAGGGTCCTTTGCTTCAGGACCCAAGCCACCTGGATCCCGCCCAGCCCCGGACTTCAGAGTGGGTTCTGGGAAACCGGCTGAATGAGGGAAAATCCCAATTAACCTTATTCCCAGGACAGAAAAAGAATCAGACCTCTGGATGAGTGACATTATACCTTCCAGGCCTTGCCCGACACCAGGTGCAGACCAGACTTCTTCAGGTTAGGGTCTGGGATACACACCTGGCTCCACACTCCCCGAAAGAAGTGAGTTGAAGGGGGATAGGCCAGCTTCTTTCTCCCAAGAATAGGGGTAGTTCAGAGATCTATATGACGCTATTAGCCACAGACAGAAACGAATTCAGGGGACGAAGAGCCCAATCCATGATCACACTCTAGAGAGGCGATCCTGAGAGAATTCCAGAGAAGGTGGTGAAATTTTGAAAAAATTCCAGTGAAATTCTCTGAAAACTGCAGGAGAATCCTGGCAGGGTGTTGATAAGGGCCTCATGTTGCGCCGTGCTCCTCAGGGACAGGCACTAAGGGCCTCTCTCTGCAGCCAGAGAGGAGACCTGAGACGACGGTCAGCACCCTGGAGTGGACAGCTCCCGCCCCGGGCTCTGCTCTGCCCACAGCGGTCCCAGAGGCCACTGGGAGGGCATCGAGTCTACTGGGAAGACGGAGGGGTTTTGAGGGTGAACATTTAGGGGAGCTGCTGCTTAGACAGGATAATTTGATCCACTCTTTGGCATTTAGGACTTCTTTCTTCAACTACCGTTCCCTTTTCTGCTTCTGTCAAGACCATTTCATTTTGGGATCTTGGACCCAACCTTTAAAAGTCTTTAGTACACATGACCTCAGTCCTCAACACCAACACTACAACTCCCATTTTAGCCCTAAAACGAGAGGCAGTGATTTTGGAAAAAATAATTTAAGTCAGCAGTGTCAGAAACAGCCCCTTCTGGGGACTCCTATGTATGTTCAGAATTTAAGATGGGGGTCTTTGGGACTCAGACCCCTCCCCCAATACTCCAAGGCTCCGGTGGGCCCTGGGGTCTGAGGAGGGAGAGGGATCCCTTCCGGGAAGTCGGTTCAGAACTGCCTCTGCCTCTAAGCCTCAGAGAAAAAGAATTGTGAGGCCAACCTTGTCTGAGCAGGAGACACTCCATCCCTGGTGCTCTCATTGTCCCCCCAACCCTCTGAGGGGTTCCCTCTGTCCAGAGCGACACTAGGCAGAAAGGAGGCTGCTCAGATGTGGGCCAGGGGGTCCCTGATGTCCTGTCCCAGTGAGCTTATAGTTAAGTCCAGCTGCACTCTACTGGGTGGGCACCCAGATTCACCCACCTCACAGACCTCTAGGGTTTTCCCCCAACGTCAACACCCCTAAAAGTGTCAACATGCCTGAGGCCAAAATGTTCAATTCCCCTGAGTCCACTGAAACACAAGTTTAAGATGGAAAAGGGGTTTCCCCCATTAATATTTCAGTCTCATGACCTTACAATATTTAAAGTTTAAAAATATCCCTGTCTGGCTCAAATGGTTGCCTCCTTATCTCTACCCTCTTGCTTTTTGCAGCAGTGGGAAGAGGGTTGTATCATGACTGGCTTATCCCAACTTATTCATTTGTCAGTGATGAAAAGATAGTTTATTTCCAAGGAGGTGTGTGTACACTGAAGTCGTGTAGAGAGATCAGTGCTTTGCTCTGTGCTGAGGGCCTGTGTGAGTCTAGATAGGGTCTGGGAGAGGCAGTGAGTACAGCTGTCTCTGCCCAGCGGTGTGTGTGAGGGTTTTATAGGGTGGGAATTCAACCCAGGATTGTCCAGTGTCCCTCTCTCTAGCTTCTGCTCAGTCACTTGACATTTCTGCCTCCATCACTCCAGCCTAGCTCAGTCCTTCTCACACACACCCCCCCCCCCAATGAAATGAAGCTACCATGAGAAACTGGGTCCGGCTTTGCATATCATTTACATAAATATTTATTAATCGTCATTAAACTGAACAGAAACACGCAATGCACTTCGGGTGTCCGACGGGAGTTTCATCTTCGCTACAAGAGGAAGGTAAAATTGCGTGTGTGGGTGAGTGTGTGGGTGTGTCGCCTGTCGGTTTGCATCATTTTTGCATCGTGTGTTTAGATGCCTGATCCCCTGTCTCCGGTGGGGAAAGGTTCTCTTTTTGCCCCTTTTTGGGGAAACCTCCAGAAGGAGCCCTCAGCCTCTTCCCCACCCACCAGCCGGCAAAAGCCAGGAGGACTCCTCGGACAAAAAACCTTCTCCGGCCACCAGAAATCTGGAGATCGTCGGGCGCTTGGCGCCCACCGAGGCACAGTCCGGGCAGGGGCGCAGTTGTCCCCCAGGTATCCGTTCCCGGCCGCCTTATGCGAGGAGGGGACGGAAGTGCCTGCGGGGAGGAGGACGTGGCAAGCTCACCTCCTTCTGCCCCCTGACGCCCGCGCCGGGTCTGCGTGTGCGTGCGGTGTGGTGTGCGTGTGTGTGTGTCTCTCATGCAAACCCTCCCTCCCCGAACCGACCCCCCAACAGTTTGCCATTCCATACAAATTTGGAAACAGGTTTTTAAAAAACAGCATGACGCACAACGAGGACGGGGCGGGGAAGGGCAGTGGCACTGGGGTCCCAAATCTCCGAGTTACTGATTGTAAGAACCTGGGGAGGGGAGGGGGCAGCTCGGGCCCCCACTTCACCAAAGTGCACAGATCCGCGCTTGGGCGGGGCGGCCCGCGGACCGGGAGGGGCATCCCGGGGCCGGGCCGGGCCGCCAGGCTCAGTCAGAACCTCCTTGCATAGATATTTGTGTCTTTTTTATTATTGGTAGTAGATTTTTTTTGCCTTTTATTGCTTCTAAAAGTTCTTACTGCGTTTTCTCTCCGATCCGGACTCTGCTTTCGGCCTCCGTCGCCTCTTAGTACTTTTTTTTTTTTTTTTTTTTTTTTTTTTTTGTAGGTTTATTTGTTTTAAAAAAGGAAAAGGGGGAAACGGATTCTAGTTACAAATTGTTTTTTCCTTTCTCTTTCCTCTCAATCCACATCCCCTCCCGCCAAAATTAAAATCGCAAAACGCGGAGACTCGGGGTTGAGGGTGAGGGCGTTCCAGGCCCGGGCTCAGGCGCCCCGACTTCTTCCCTCTTCAAGAAAGAGGGGGCGCCCAGCTCCTTTCTGCCTCGGCAGCTCGGTGTCTATTTTAAAAATAACGAGAAGAGAAAACCACATGCCACAGCTCAGCTGCCCCCTTACCAACGCCTTGGGGCCTGCAGGGAGGAGGAAACCTAAGTGAAGGAATTGGGAATGGGGCAGAGGGTGTCTCCTGGGAGCGTCCTGAAAGCGGTCCCTGGAGAAGTACTCCCTGGGTGAGGGGAGGAGGCAACCCTTTGGGGTGAGAGAAGGCGAGGCCCCTGGGGGAAGCGAGTCCCCTGGGACCGGCCACCCACAGGTAAGAGGACCACGCTGCCAAGGAGAGCGGCAGGACCGGCGGCCTGCTCCCCGCGCCCGGCGCCGGGGTAGGTGGGGGTGCCCCTGCGCTTGGGAAGCTGGGGGCAGGGGAGCGGGCAAAGGCAAAAGAAAAAGAAGGGGGCTGGCGCGAGGTCTCAGTTATGGAAAAACGCATTGAGCTCCTCGTACATGGGGCCCCGGTCGTGGTGAAGGTGCATATCGTAAGACAAGAGATTCTCCGAGTGCACGCCCCCGCGCACAGCCGACGAACCGAAGACCAGCCCGTGGCCCGTGGGCCGCGAGCCGGGCAGCGCCGAGTAGTGCATAGAGTAGTGGTAGCTTTTCTCGTGGTCGGGCGACGAGTCCTGCTTGAGAGAGAAGTTGCCATTGAGACAGAGCGGGGGGCTGAGCGGGCCCTCGTACTCGCATAACTTCGTATAGCATACATTATACGAAGTTATACGAAGCACGGGTACGGGTAGGGGTGCATGGTGAACGGGCCTCCTGAGCCGTGGAAGCGGCCAGCGCCGTCTGCGCCCTGCTCCGTGAGGAAGTTGCGTGAGTTGAGCTGCAGGCAGCCGGCCACCAGGTTGGTGGTGGGCTGCGACAGACCCTTGCACAGCGTCTGCACGTAGGACACCAGGTCGGGCCGCTTGCCGGAGCGCAGGATCTCCGAGAGAGCCCAAATGTAGTTCTTGGCTAGTCGCAGCGTCTCGATCTTGGACAGCTTCTGCGTCTTGGAGTAGCAGGGCACCACCTTGCGCAGGTTGTCCAGGGCCGCGTTCAGGTCGTGCATGCGGTTGCGCTCCCGCGCGTTCGCCTTCTGCCGCCGCAGCTTGGAGCGCTCCAGACGCGCCTTGGTCATCTTCCGCTTCTTGGGCCCGCGCTTCTTGGGCCGCTCGCCCTCCGCCTCGTCTAGCCCTTCCTCCTCCTCCTCTTCCTCCTCCTCCTCGCCTCCCAGCTCGCCTTCTTCCTTGACCTCGGCCAACGTGGCCTCTGGCACCTCTTCTCCACGGAGGGGGACTGGTTTGGCGGCCCGGGCGGGCCCCGGAGCCCCCGGCCCGGGAGCAGGCGGCGGAGGCGGCGGCGCGTCGCCCTTGTCGCTCCTCGGCTCGTCGTCGTCGCCGTCGCCCCAGGTGGCGAACTTGGGCACGTCCGAGAGGAGGCCGGGCTCGCTGAACAGGCGGGTCAGCATGGTGCCTGAGGGCGCCCGGCGGGCGGGAAGGGGAGACAGCACAGAGTGAGGGCACGCTGGGGTCACGACGCCCCCCGCACCCGTCTCCACCCCAAGTCTCGTGTAGGCTCCTACCCAGGGAACCCCGGATGCCCACCGCCCCCGCCTGCCCCG